CTCTTCCTGAAACTCTCTCTCTCTCTCTGTGTGTGTCTCCGTTATCTATAAGGTAGGAGGGGAGTAAGGTAAGAAGCTGCATTTTTTATGACTGCTCATCACCAAGGTAGGTTCACAATGTGTTTACAAAACCTTTAGAAATTCGGTTCAAATTTATTACCGCTTCATAACGATGAGTGATCCAGTGATAGGACTACTTGCCAAACATACACACACGCACACATACATGGTCCGAGGTTCACTCCTCGACTGACGCACTTCTAAACCTCGCTTAGCCCAGCAGTAAGCCCCGGTTGAGAGAGAGAGAGAGAGGTTGTGAGGGGTCATTGAGGTTAGCAACTGCATCCCTGTAAAAAATAAACACCACTGCTATGGAAACATCAAAGAGCAAGGTTGAGGCTTTTTGTTCCACCACGAATGCAAGGGGAATAATAAGACATTTTTTTATTACAGCTTGATTCCACACCGTATTTTTTGGTACAAGTATGGAATTTTCAGCATGTGATATCAGTAGCCCAAGTTTTGCAGGCCGACCATAGATATCAGGTGTGCGTCATCGGCAGGGGATCAAACCTCGGGCCATGTGTATGGTCGGCGAGAGTCCTAACCGCTGTGCAACCTACGCATGATTGTTTAATGGTTATTGAGAGGTGATGAAGAGTGAATGCATGCATCTGTTTCGTGTCGTCAATAGTTTCCAATGATTGGTTATTAACATCCGGAGAATTCCAACCAACCATACAGTCTGCATCTCTCTACCTGGCTGACTCAAACCAATTGTCAACATCACACAGGAAGTGTGGTAAACATTTTCATTTTGGCAGTAGTAATCTGACTTACGGATTTACTATTCACTATTCTATTCATTATTATTACTATTACAAGTGGTTCAAAGTTGTGTTCGTTCATTGTTTAAACTCCAGTACTCGTTTCTTATGAACACAATAAAACGTCAGTCAGGTATTGTGATTAATTGCAACACGTATTATTATTATATTATTGTTTTCTTAATGCCTAGAGAAATATAAGGCTTCAGCCGCACGTCTCCGTTGCGTTCGGTTCTCTGCCGCTGTTTTCACCTGGCTCCACGTCTGACCATATGCTTTCATCTCCCCTTCACATGACCTCCTCCATGTCGCCCTTGGACGATCAACTCGCCACTTCCCGTTTGGGTTCCACTCGAGACACAGCCTGGTGTGTGATGTCAGTTGATGGATTGTTTTCTCAGAGTATGACCAATCCAATCCACCTACATTCCTTCCTGCTTATATGTTGCACAATCGGTTGCTGGTTGGTTCGCTCATTGCCAGAGATCCCTCCCTGTTGCTGATCTTTTCTGGCCGGTCATCTGATCTTGAGCGGTATTGAGCGAAGACAGCTATTGATGAAGGTCAGTAGTTTGTTTGAGGTGCTCTTCATGACGCGCCAGGTCTCTGATCCGTATATCAGCACTGACTGACTTCAAGTTCCAGTTGGAAATCCGGAACATATTTTTCATTCTGAGTGCTGTTGACCTCCACACAGACATGAGAGTAATGAAACCCTGCCTTGCTTTCCAATGTTCCTGGCTTTGATATCTTCACCAGCCTCATCCGCCTGTAGTTGAAACGAGGCTTCCCACGTCGGTTTGTGGTAAATGAGGTTGGTTCTTTCAAACTCCTCTCATTCATGCTAGCTGATTGTTGTCTGTTATTGTTCTAGTTGCTGTTGGCCAGGAATCTTCACCTCTGTTTTCTCTATGTTCACCTGAAGGATGTCCTATCTTCTCTTGATGCTTCTTCTGCGAAACTGTTGCTTTTCACCTGCATATCTTCCAATTTGTGGGAAACCAGACGTATATCGTCGTCGAAGTCTAGATCCTCCAAGTGTTTTGTGTGGGTCCATTTTATGCCTGTTCTCTCGCTGACCGCCGCTGTCTGTCCAACGCATTATCCAGTCTACCACAATCATCAGGAAAATCATTGGTGATAGTAGGCAGCCAGCCAGCCACCCAACTTGTCCTACTCCCGTCTTCACTTCTTCGAAGGATTCCGTGAGTTTCCCGTTGTGGATTACTTGGCATGCAGCATTGTCGTACAACTGTCGAATGAGGTGTATAATTGTTGGTGGCACCCCGTAGTAGCGAAGTAGTAGTAGTAGTAGTTATCTATCTTGAAAATATATGCATCATGATGGCATAATACTAATCCTATTTCACTAGTAATTCTATCTATAAGGTAGGAGAAATTCCATAGAGAAGACGTTACATCCCTGCACTAACTCTTTACTCAAATCTGACAAAGTGTTTTTAATATCACATCGCTTCGAAAGTGAAATCCATTTCACAAATAAATATAAATTTTCAAAAGTTCGTTGTTATGGATTCAGATGCGTTTCAAGTTTATCACAGAGTATTAGATCGATGTTTTATCCCAGTGTTTACGACTTTTCAACAATACTCACACTGGGCATCGACTCCATAACCTTTCGGTGACAATACAAGTTCGTTGACTATTCAACCCAACCAATGAGATCCAAATTAATGTTCAAATTTCATGAATCCCAACTTCAACTGATTCGTAATTTTAGCGTGACCACAAGTCGATGTCCCGTCACGTCCAACTTGTTGTTCCCCGACTGATCACAAGTTCCCACTCTAGAACTGCAACCAACTTTCAAGTCAGTCAGTCACTCACTTGTTAGTTTGCATTTTACGAAAACAACTCTCCACTTATGTACAGACTGTTCAGTTGTTTCTCATGTGCGAATATATATGTACATATACTCGTCAAATATGAATCGCATCATCTAATTTTTGGTGACGTCATTTATCTATATCCTGTTTATTTAACAATGTTTACTGAGCATTTGGAAGAATATCACTAAACTTTGTGGATATTGCGTCATCTGGAGTATTACTGTAATATTATTGTTGGTTTCCGAGTGGAACACGATTCTGCAACAACATATCTTCATTTTGTCCAATCTACTGCAGTCTTCTTCAGTCACCCCCCCTCCACCATCTTCTTGTCACACGATCTCATCTCTGTCACCCTCGGACTATAATGCCCAGCTCGTCGTTTCCCACTCGGTTGATGGTGTATGGGTATTGAGCACGATGTCACTCAACATGTCTACTCAGCTTGTGTGTGTGTGTATTCGAGTCGTCTCGACTTTCTGCAGGATATTTGTTTGTTGAACAACAGATTCTTCATTGGCTTGTTCTCAGAGTTTGCCTGTTGCTAATCCTTTTCCCCACTACTGACTCTGACCATTCGATCTTTAATAATGTGGAACGAATTCAGTGGGTGATACAAGTCTGCAGTAGTCGACTGTTTTGGAAATGCTTTTTAGAAAAACTTGGACAGATACTCTTGTCCACACCATACTCTGTTGTCTTCTGTAGTTGGTGCGATTCTGTTTGCTCAGATAAGTGAAGAAAGTGATTGGTGCCTGCTGTTGTTGTTGTTGTTGTTGGTTGTTTGATTATCTTTGCATCACCTCCGTTCTTCTCTGTGTTTAAGCAATCGAGTGTATGGTGTACTTTATCATCTGGAAAGGAGGTGGAGCAGATAATCGTTTGAAGTGCAAGATCATTGAAAGCTTGCTTGCAAGATGCCTAGACTCTCTACCCTTCCCACCCTCACCGTTTGTCTCTTTGTATCCTTGTAATTCTGATGTCTGTCTGTCTGGATTCAACGTAGAACTTGGCACCGAAGTGCACCAGTTCGAGTTGCCACGTTCCAAATACCACACAAAGGTAGACAAGAATATGAGTGAAGAGAATCAATAGAGTTTGACAAGTATAAGAGTGAAACAGAATGGGTAATGGTAGAAAGGAATATGAAAGATCACAGAGACTGAATACATCTGAGCTGGCCATTGACAACGATTTTGAGCCATGTCACCTATTGTCTCCAGCCATTGATTCTTAGAGTCAGTCCCGAGGGCCCCAACCCGGAAGTCTGCATCTCCCTCCCTACCTGCCTGAGTCAGTTTAACTGTCAAGGATTTCATGGATTGATGAGGCCATGCTTTTGTTTGGCCACCACCACCACTTACTCTTTTCCAACCTGCACCTATATCAGCTAGTAATGCCCGTCGTCGGGGGAGGCGATGGTTAGGCATGCGCAACACGTCACCTAGCCATCTTAGTCTATGTAACTTTATAGCCTCGTCGATTGATTTTCCCTGTTTGCCCAACACTCTACGCCTAACGTCAGCATTCCTTACCTTATTAAACCACCTAACGTGAGACAGAGATCGCAGACATCTATGATCGAAAGCAGTCAACCTTTTCATGTCTTCAACTCGTATTGGCCATGTTTCAGAGCCATAGACAAGGACGGAGCGAACTGTTGAGCAGTACACACGTCCCTTGGTTGATAACCGGATGTCACGCCTACGCCAGAGATGGTGTAAGTCAGCGAAAGCAGCTCGAGCTTTTTAGATCCATGCTGAGATTTCGTCGCCAATCAGTCCGTTGGTGCTAATACAACTTCCCAAGTAGGTGAAGTGGTCAACATGTTCTATATCACTTCACTCCCTATCACTAAGCTAGGAGTTGACGTAGTCCAGTCCTGTAGCAGCATCTTACATTTTGTAGGGGCGAATCGCATGCCAAACATACGAAGATTGCTGTTCAAGGTGTTCAGAAGACTCTGCATTTTGTCAGAATCCTCCCCTAACAGGTGTATGTCATCTGCATATTCTAAGTCCATAAGACTATTCCCTGGTAACAAGTCAATTCCTAAATCGTTACGTTCAGTTAAGGATACTTCCATCAGGATGTCTATGATGAAGTTAAACAGAAATGGGGAGAGTGGACATCCCTGTCGGACACCACTGGTTGTTACCAATTCAGATGACAATTCCCCATAAACCCTAACACGGCTACATGAGTTTGAATAGAGTGTCTTGATTAGTGCAATGTACTTTCTTGGCACTCCTTTCACAGTCAGACATTGCCATAGTACCTTTCGATCCACGGAGTCGAAGGCCGCCTTCAGGTCAAGAAATATGGCAATTGTTGGACGCGGTAAAGTATGTCTATGTTCTAGAATCTGTCGGAGAGTGAAGATATGATCTATGCACCCTCTACCTGGTCTAAAGTCTGCTTGATTTTCCCTCATTTGTTCCTCCCGTAATTCTGATAGTACCAGTAATCAATTCACGGATATATGTGTTGGATGCAGGCTACCACGTTTAAATCCAGGACTTCAGGCTATGAAGTTTCATTATCTGTGGTGTTATTTTTGTTTCCTTTTTTTTCAACAGAATGAGGTTCTTGGCCTCAAACTCCGTTTTTTCGGAGTTTACTATCTACGGTCTAGTAAACTAGACAACGGGGTTTGGGGTGGGGTGTTTAGGAGGAGTGTGTCTGCTGGAAATCGGACATGGACCCGTCTTCCGCTTTCTCTATTCATGCTGAAATACGTAACTGTATTCATTCCTGATGTTTCTTTTATTTGGTATTTCAGATTGATAGAATTGAAATTTTAAAGTCATGAATACAAGTGAACAAACTATCGATCGACCATTTATAACACCAGATGGAAAAATATGGCCAGCTAATGTTTGTGTTCCGTCGAAAAGATACTATTGTGCAAAAGTTAGTTGATTTGTTACTCCGTTTTTATGTATTTATTTATTTATTTATTTTACATTAATTACGGTATATACACATTGGGTCATAGGAGTTATTAAGAAGACAGTTTCAGCGACGAAGAAAATTTTCTTTCAACGAAGTCACCCGTCAACTAGGCTGTACATTCGTGTATTTATATCAAATGGATGGGAAAGTTCTAAAATAATTTCCGGTTAAGGGTCAAATTAATTGAGGTACTAGCTATCCAAAAGCTCAAACTCATGCTTTGTATCCAAAAGAAATACGTCCAACCTCTGTCCCTGCCATGGCCATCATAAACAGGTAATTAATTCTTTTAGTAATGACCATCCCATCGCCTTTCTTACATAAACTTCCTGTTTATTCATGTTATTTTTAAGTTTTCTTTATCCTTGTTTACACTACCATATTTTCATATCCGAACTTCCTGTTCTATTTTGTCATTTTACTATTTAATCCCTGATTGCATAAACAATTATTCATCACATTAGTTTTTATCCAAACATCCTGTCTATTTTGTTATTTCTACATTTCTAACCCCTAATTGCACAATGTCAATCTTCTTAGTATTATGATGCTACTTTGTTTGAGTTTTATCCGTCCCACCTCCCTGTTTATTATGGCATTCTAATTCCTAATTGAAATTTTTATTAATTTGACCCTTAACCAGAAATTATTCTTGAACCATCCCATCCATTTGTGATTATAAATACACGAATGTACAGCTACCTAGTTGATGACTTTTTTTGAGGTTTTTTTGTATTTCCCAATGAATGAAAAACAAAACGATATTGGTGTTTTTACACACATTTCGATATTTAATACTGATAATAGCTTTATCAAACTACTATTAAACCAGAATTTACAAAATCTCAGCTTATATATAACAACTTAATTATCGTTCTCAGCATTGGATCATTCTTGCGGTGTCAACTTGCCGATTGGTGTAAAGATAACAAAACCAGGTGTAGATGACTGTTGGATTCGATAAGTGTATAAAATTATAAAAGCAGCGTGTGTTTACAAAATGAAAATTGTTTATCACACACACATTCATGTTGATTTTGTCACTACATGGGGGAGGGAGGCGTTGTAACCAGGTCAGATTCTCTTTTAGACCATCATTCCCATTCACCAGACAATTTAGATTCCATTTGATGAAATGAAGTGCTTCTGATGACATTAAACGTTCTTTGTGATTTCTGAAATGCTTTTTCTGGATGATGATTTCAACATATTGTCAAAATCAATCTTGTGGCTTGAGTATATAGCGTAGAGTGTAGACCACCACCTCTGTCTGATGATTTTCCAAGCTTTTTAGTTCGTCTGGATTTCTCGAGGATCGAACAGATGCTCTACGGTGTTCATTACTTCTTCTGATTTTGATTTCTCCCCAATGATGTTTGTCTGATGTATATTGCATCATATTTCAAGCATTTCGTTTTGTAGACACAATTAGTTAGAGAATCTTTAGAGATTTGATCTTTTATATGGACAAAGTTGTTTCACAGTGTGTGTGATGTTTTGAAGAAAACTCTGATGTCGAGCTGATTGAGTACTCTTCTGATATCATATGACGTCTCTGTTCTATATGGAATGACAACTGTTGAGGTCCATGTTTTTGAAATGCTTTTTCGACTAAACTTAATGTCTGTGTTGATTTTGTTGATGAAGTTCACTTGCTTCTGTCTACCTTCTGCTGTACTTTTCACCTGCATCCATATTAGTCCATACTATTTCAACTCCTCTTCACATGATCTCCTCCATGTCACCCTTGCACTGACGACCCACTCGTCGCTTCCCTTTCCGCCTGGTTCCACTCGAGCACTGGCCTGTCACCCGGGCGCGATGTCACCCAGTGGCCTCCTCAGCGAGCGAGTGTCCGATCCATCCATCTCCACTTTCTCCTGCTTATTTCTTGGTTGGCGATTGGTTCTTGTTTTGTTTGTTTGTTCCCATAGTTTCTTGTTGATGATTCTTTCCATGGCGGCCATCTGATCTTCAGTATAGAGCCAGCGAAGACAGCTGTTGATGATGAAGGTCTGCAACAGGCTGTCGGAAATATTCTTTGTGACCCGCCCGCCAAATTTCTGATCCGTATAGAAGAACTGACTGACTGACTTGACGTTTGTATTGCAAATCCGACCGAATTTCGTTGTTGATCCTGGCTGAGTGACGAAGATTTCCAGATTGGTTTGTTTCAGGTTGATGAATGTGTTTCTCGCCTGCCTTCCTGATTCTCGCTCGATTTGACATCCTTGTCCGTTCCTCCTCCTGTAGTTGAGACAATGCTCCCTAGTTAAGATAAGTGAATGAAGTAACCGCTTTCAAATCCCTATCGTTGATGTTGATTGTCGCTGGATGTTGCTGTTGTTGTTGGTTGGTTTGTTATTTTCACAAACTCCGAGTCTTGTCTATGTTCACCTGGAGTCCTGTCTCACCGGCTTCTTCTTTGACAACTGTAATAACAAACAGTAACCCCAGGTCCAATTATGTTTTAGACCATCATTCTCATTCACTAGACAATTTGGATTCTATTTGATGATGATATGAAGTGCTTCTGATGATATTGGACATTCTTTGTGATTTTTAAAATGCTTTTTCTGGATGATGATTTCAACATACTGTCAAAATCGATTTTGTTGCCTGATTTTACACAGCGTGTAGACGACCTATTATGGCTGATGATTTTTCAAGTTCACTAACTGGATTTCTCGGTGGTTGAACCGTTTCTCTGCGGTGTTCATTGCTTCTTCTGATTTTAATTTCTCTCTAGTGAGGATTGTCCACTCTACGTCGCATCACATTTTCAAATTAAAAAACCAAATTTGATTTTTGGCCAGTCCCCAAACAGTGCCTCATCTACCTGGACGATATCATCGTGTTCGGCCAGTCTCTCGAAGACCATCATGCCAACCTTCGCGCCGTATTTCAACGCTTACGCGAGAGTAACCTTAAGCTGCAAGCCTCAAAATGCAAATTCCTGCAGAAATCTGTTATTTTCCTTGGACATGAGATTACTCCACAAGGAGTACATACGGATAGCAGCAAAACTCAAGCAGTTGTTAACTGGCCGACCCCTAAATCGACCGCTGACGTACGCAGTTTCATGGGACTCGCCTCCTATTACCGGCGTTTCGTCCAGAATTTCGCCAGTATAGCAGCCCCTCTCCATCGATTGACAGAAAAAGGACGGAAATTCGTTTGGACAAATGAGTGCCAGGTAGCCTTTGACACGCTTAAAAAATGTCTAACTTCTCCCCCTGTCCTATCGTTTCCAGACACATCGGCTGGTAGCGGCCCCTTCATTCTGGATACCGACGCCAGTGCACATGCAATAGGAGCCGTTCTCTCGCAAACAACCTCTGACGGACAAATACGAGTGATAGCATATGCTAGTCGAATGCTAGACAAAAGAGAGACGCGGTATTCTACGACGCGACGTGAGATGCTAGCCCTCGTCTACTTCCTCTCCTACTTTCGTCATTACTTATTGGGGCGCAAATTTCGAGTCCGGACTGACCACAAGGCGTTACAGTGGTTGCAAAATTTTCGTGATGCCGACGGCCAACTTGCCCGCTGGCAGGAACGGTTACAGGAGTTTGATTTCACTTGTGAATACCGGCCTGGAAAACGACATGGTAACGCCGACTCTCTCTCTCGCCTGCCCGATTGCGAGAACACACTGAATGTGTTACTCGGTGCTGCAGCTGACACCGACTGGGCCTCCCTGCAAGCGGCGGACACAACGATACAGCCCATTTATTTACGTCAACAGCATGGGAACGATAAACCGACGTCCAAAGAACTACGGGATTTACCAGCAGCCACGCGGTGCATCTGCGAGAAGTGGGGTTTACTACGACTTATAGATGATGTTCTTTACATAGTGGAACCAAATGCCAACCCCCGACTCCTCGTCCCAACTGTTAAAGTACCCGAGCTTATTAGTCAGGTGCATCATCAACTGGGACACGCTGGCCAACAGAAAACTGAACACGCCATCCGTCAACGCTTCTGGTGGCCACTTATACACCATGATGTTATGGAGTTTTGCCGCAATTGCGCTATATGTGCGCAGATCAAACAGCCTAAGCCAACTCCCCGAGCACCCCTAGTACCTATGCTGACCGAAGCCCCTAATCATCGAGTTGGAGTCGACATCATTGGGCCAGTACCAACATCGAGACGCGGGAATCGTTATATACTTGTCATGGTCGACTATTTCACCAAGTGGTGCGAAGCAGTCCCCTTGCAGCAACAAGATGCCCTGACGATCGGGCGAGCTTTCATCGACAACTGGGTGTCCCGTTTTGGTGCCCCTCTTTATCTACACTCTGATCAAGGCGCTGCTTTCGAGAGTCTTCTTATCTCTCACATCTGCAATGCTTTCGGCATTCGAAAGACCCATACTACGCCTTATCATCCACAAGGGAATGGACTGGTGGAACGCACCAACCGAACCATCAAGCATCTTCTCCGTGCCTTTTTGCACAACGCACCGGAGAACACCTGGGACGATGTCCTGCCTCAATGCTTGCTTGCATACCGCTCCTCCGTGCATTCGTCGACCGGATTTTCCCCGGCTCTACTCTTGTTTGGGCATGAACTTCGCCTTCCTGTTGAGATCCGGACACCGTTGCTACCATACGAGAAGATCGACTGTATTCCCTACGTCCGCAACCTTCGTCACCACCTCGACACAGCCTACAACCTAACACGTCGACATCTGCAGTCTTCTTCGCAGCATCAGAAAAGCAACTATGATCGGTTTGCCCACGGACCAACCTATTCCCCGGGTGACTACGTCTGGCTCCATCGGCCGTCAGTCCCTGCCGGTTCGTGCCCCAAGTTCTACGCCCCCTGGAAAGGCCCATATGAAATCGTACAACACCGACCTCCAACTACATATGTCCTGCGGAACTTGCGACGCCCCCAGGAAAATCTCATCTCAGCACATTACAACCAGCTGAAACCACACTGTCCAGCAGCTGTCAAAGAACCGTCGACATCTTCGCAACCGCCACCCGCTACGACCTACTTCGAGGTGCCCACTGATGGAGGTAGTGCATACCCTATACCGCCGCCAGGCACTGAGGACAGTGCCTCCAGAGGGGAGGGAGCGATGTAATGATATAAAAACTAACATGACATCACTAAATGAGTCTCCTGTTTCCTCTTTTTCAGAAAAGAACGCTGGCCTGGCCGTGCTGGAACAGGTGGAGGACCGTTTGTCTAACCTTGTTATAAATGACAATGATTAGCTTGTACCCGGGCAATTCGACCCCTACGTGCTGGAAATATAGACCTTCCTCTCGCATCTTCCTCTTCTTCCTTCGCTGATTGTGTCTGTTGCTTCTGGGTGTTACAATTGGTGTCGGAGGTGTCCAAAACTCAATCTCGAAATGAAATCAGATTCTTCCGATCCTCCTGAAATCATCTCCACCCCAAAAGTCAACCCACAATCCCCAGCCACAGAACACATCTTACCGGTGCGAGGATTACCAACTTTGAACATAAACAGCGATTATGAAATGTGGAAGATTCGCATGGAGTCTCTCTTATCCGGTCTTACTCCACACGCACAATATACTCAGATTATGCTAGCAATGAGTGACACCGCACTACGCCGTGCTATCGCTGGGGGCTTCTCCGCGTCCAAACCCATCAGCTACAACTGGCATGTCCTCGACGAATGTTTTGCCAAAACCTCCAGCCTTTCGGTGTACATGCACACCTTTCTCAGCCGCTGTCAAGAGCCCGGCGAAACAGCGTTCGATTACCTGCATCAACTCCGCGAGATGGCATCGCGCGCATTTCCCAACCTTCCCAACCCGAACCGAGATGATGTTATCTGTAGCCGTTTTGCCCAAGGTGTCTCATCATATGAGCTCAAGTGCCAACTTCTACGCCAGCCAGCAAAATCAGTCTCAGAGGCCATTGAGGTGGTAAAGCGATTCGAGAGCGTCGAGCATATTCTCACTCCAACTGCCAGTACGCCCTGCTATGCTCTCGGGACCACCGAGCGAAGAACAACCGTCCCAGCACCACGACAACGCCGGCCTAATGCTCCATCGTCAAACCAACCTCCAATTCCGTCCCAATGGCATGATGACCCCAGTAAGTGCTATTACTGTCGCCGGTTCGGGCGGCGAGCATGGAAATGTGGGCATAACAAAAAACCACAAGAAAAGAACGCTGGCCTGGCCGTGCTGGAACAGGTGGAGGACCGTTTGTCTAACCTTGTTATAAATGACAATGATAAGATTGTACCCGGGCAATTCGACACCGTCGTGTTGGAAATATAGACCTTCCTCTCGCATCTTCCTCTTCTTTCTTCGCTGATTGTGTCTGTTGCTTCTAGGTGTTACAATTCGAATGGCGTGGGTTTGAATCCCACCTCCGACACCAATTGTAACACCCAGAAGCAACAGACACAATCAGCGAAGGAAGAAGAGGAAGATGCGACAGGAAGGTCTATATTTCCAGCACGACGGTGTCGAATTGCCCGGGTACAATCTTATCATTGTCATTTATAACAAGGTTAGACAAACGGTCCTCCACCTGTTCCAGCACGGCCAGGCCAGCGTTCTTTTCTTGTGGTTTTTTGTTATGCCCACATTTCCATGCTCGCCGCCCGAACCGGCGACAGTAATAGCACTTACTGGGGTCATCATGCCATTGGGACGGAATTGGAGGTTGGTTTGACGATGGAGCATTAGGCCGGCGTTGTCGTGATGCTGGGACGGTTGTTCTTCGCTCGGTGGTCCCGAGAGCATAGCAGGGCGTACTGGCAGTTGGAGTGAGAATATGCTCGACGCTCTCGAATCGCTTTACCACCTCAATGGCCTCTGAGACTGATTTTGCTGGCTGGCGTAGAAGTTGGCACTTGAGCTCATATGATGAGACACCTTGGGCAAAACGGCTACAGATAACATCATCTCGGTTCGGGTTGGGAAGGTTGGGAAATGCGCGCGATGCCATCTCGCGGAGTTGATGCAGGTAATCGAACGCTGTTTCGCCGGGCTCTTGACAGCGGCTGAGAAAGGTGTGCATGTACACCGAAAGGCTGGAGGTTTTGGCAAAACATTCGTCGAGGACATGCCAGTTGTAGCTGATGGGTTTGGACGCGGAGAAGCCCCCAGCGATAGCACGGCGTAGTGCGGTGTCACTCATTGCTAGCATAATCTGAGTATATTGTGCGTGTGGAGTAAGACCGGATAAGAGAGACTCCATGCGAATCTTCCACATTTCATAATCGCTGTTTATGTCCAAAGTTGGTAATCCTCGCACCGGTAAGATGTGTTCTGTGGCTGGGGATTGTGGGTTGACTTTTGGGGTGGAGATGATTTCAGGAGGATCGGAAGAATCTGATTTCATTTCGAGATTGAGTTTTGGACACCTCCGACACCAATTGTAACACCCAGAAGCAACAGACACAATCAGCGAAGGAAGAAGAGGAAGATGCGAGAGGAAGGTCTATATTTCCAGCACGTAGGGCTCGAATTGCCCGGGTACAAGCTAATCATTGTCATTTATAACAAGGTTAGACAAACGGTCCTCCACCTGTTCCAGCACGGCCAGGCCAGCGTTCTTTTCTGAAAAAGAGGAAACAGGAGACTCATTTAGTGATGTCATGTTAGTTTTTATATCATTACATCGCTCCCTCCCCTCTGGAGGCACTGTCCTCAGTGCCTGGCGGCGGTATAGGGTATGCACTACCTCCATCAGTGGGCACCTCGAAGTAGGTCGTAGCTGGTGGCGGTTGCGAAGATGTCGACGGTTCTTTGACAGCTGGTGGACAGTGTGGTTTCAGCTGGTTGTAATGTGCTGAGATGAGATTTTCCTGGGGGCGTCGCAAGTTCCGCAGGACATATGTAGTTGGAGGTCGGTGTTGTACGATTTCATATGGGCCTTTCCAGGGGGCGTAGAACTTGGGGCACGAACCGGCAGGGACTGACGGCCGATGAAGCCAGACGTAGTCACCCGGGGAATAGGTTGGTCCGTGGGCAAACCGATCATAGTTGCTTTTCTGATGCTGCGAAGAAGACTGCAGATGTCGACGTGTTAGGTTGTAGGCTGTGTCGAGGTGGTGACGAAGGTTGCGGACGTAGGGAATACAGTCGATCTTCTCGTATGGTAGCAACGGTGTCCGGATCTCAACAGGAAGGCGAAGTTCATGCCCAAACAAGAGTAGAGCCGGGGAAAATCCGGTCGACGAATGCACGGAGGAGCGGTATGCAAGCAAGCATTGAGGCAGGACATCGTCCCAGGTGTTCTCCGGTGCGTTGTGCAAAAAGGCACGAAGAAGATGCTTGATGGTTCGGTTGGTGCGTTCCACCAGTCCATTCCCTTGTGGATGATAAGGCGTAGTATGGGTCTTTCGAATGCCGAAAGCATTGCAGATGTGAGAGATAAGAAGACTCTCGAAAGCAGCGCCTTGATCAGAGTGTAGATAAAGAGGGGCACCAAAACGGGACACCCAGTTGTCGATGAAAGCTCGCCCGATCGTCAGGGCATCTTGTTGCTGCAAGGGGACTGCTTCGCACCACTTGGTGAAATAGTCGACCATGACAAGTATATAACGATTCCCGCGTCTCGATGTTGGTACTGGCCCAATGATGTCGACTCCAACTCGATGATTAGGGGCTTCGGTCAGCATAGGTACTAGGGGTGCTCGGGGAGTTGGCTTAGGCTGTTTGATCTGCGCACATATAGCGCAATTGCGGCAAAACTCCATAACATCATGGTGTATAAGTGGCCACCAGAAGCGTTGACGGATGGCGTGTTCAGTTTTCTGTTGGCCAGCGTGTCCCAGTTGATGATGCACCTGACTAATAAGCTCGGGTACTTTAACAGTTGGGACGAGGAGTCGGGGGTTGGCATTTGGTTCCACTATGTAAAGAACATTATCTATAAGTCGTAGTAAACCCCACTTCTCGCAGATGCACCGCGTGGCTGCTGGTAAATCCCGTAGTTCTTTGGACGTCGGTTTATCGTTCCCATGCTGTTGACGTAAATAAATGGGCTGTATCGTTGTGTCCGCCGCTTGCAGGGAGGCCCAGTCGGTGTCAGCTGCAGCACCGAGTAACACATTCAGTGTGTTCTCGCAATCGGGCAGGCGAGAGAGAGAGTCGGCGTTACCATGTCGTTTTCCAGGCCGGTATTCACAAGTGAAATCAAACTCCTGTAACCGTTCCTGCCAGCGGGCAAGTTGGCCGTCGGCATCACGAAAATTTTGCAACCACTGTAACGCCTTGTGGTCAGTCCGGACTCGAAATTTGCGCCCCAATAAGTAATGACGAAAGTAGGAGAGGAAGTAGACGAGGGCTAGCATCTCACGTCGCGTCGTAGAATACCGCGTCTCTCTTTTGTCTAGCATTCGACTAGCATATGCTATCACTCGTATTTGTCCGTCAGAGGTTGTTTGCGAGAGAACGGCTCCTATTGCATGTGCACTGGCGTCGGTATCCAGAATGAAGGGGCCGCTACCAGCCGATGTGTCTGGAAACGATAGGACAGGGGGAGAAGTTAGACATTTTTTAAGCGTGTCAAAGGCTACCTGGCACTCATTTGTCCAAACGAATTTCCGTCCTTTTTCTGTCAATCGATGGAGAGGGGCTGCTATACTGGCGAAATTCTGGACGAAACGCCGGTAATAGGAGGCGAGTCCCATGAAACTGCGTACGTCAGCGGTCGATTTAGGGGTCGGCCAGTTAACAACTGCTTGAGTTTTGCTGCTATCCGTATGTACTCCTTGTGGAGTAATCTCATGTCCAAGGAAAATAACAGATTTCTGCAGGAATTTGCATTTTGAGGCTTGCAGCTTAAGGTTACTCTCGCGTAAGCGTTGAAATACGGCGCGAAGGTTGGCATGATGGTCTTCGAGAGACTGGCCGAACACGATGATATCGTCCAGGTAGATGAGGCACTGTTTGGGGACTGGCCAAAAATCAAATTTGGTTTTTTAATTTGAAAATGTGATGCGACGTAGAGTGGACAATCCTCACTAGAGAGAAATTAAAATCAGAAGAAGCAATGAACACCGCAGAGAAACGGTTCAACCACCGAGAAATCCAGTTAGTGAACTTGAAAAGCTTGAAAAATCATCAGCCATAATAGGTCGTCTACACGCTGTGTAAAATCAGGCAACAAAATCGATTTTGACAGTATGTTGAAATCATCATCCAGAAAAAGCATTTTAAAAATCACAAAGAATGTCCAATATCATCAGAAGCACTTCATATCATCATCAAATAGAATCCAAATTGTCTAGTGAATGGCGACTGAAGCTTTATGTTCCTCTAGGAAATGAAGGAAATAGTAATATCTGTAACGAAATTTTTTGCAAATAAATGATTTGATGTAGTCATCAGTATTGTTGTGTACTGTAGGCTAAACTATGAGGTGGGAATTTTTTTAGCTCACATTTCTGACTAACTGACTACACTGAATGAAGTTCTAGTGTGAGAAGTCGTGACCGGCGGTGAGCGGGGCTGGGGCGACATTAATTCACCGGGACAAATACACTCGATGAAAGCATTGGCTGGCGGTGGAGAACTGTATGTGCTGCGAGTTGATGAGACAATTTGTCCCGCCCCACTAACCTTGTAACACTTTAAGGTTTAAGTGGATTTGCTCCCTGATGAGTGAGGTGGGTCATGCATGGGTGCGTACCGTACTGACGTAGAGTACACGGACGAAACATCTGTCTAGCTTTTTGTGTGATGATTTTTAACTGAAGTCGGTCCGCGATCAATCTGAATCTTATGAGTGTTTTTGAGGAAAAGGCTATAATTCATAATTAATGTGGCATCAGGCATAAAATTTTTTTTTAATGCTTTCGCTTTCTTTCTAACCGTTTTCCATTTATATTCATTCACAAGTACGGTTGATAAGTCACGATATACGGCGAAACGCATGATTCCGAAACAGCCTGTACACCGATTCCTTGTTTTAAAGATGGGAAGTTAAACGATTGACTGTTTGTTGGTCATCAATTTACTGGTGTTTGGGAAGTTGTACCTCGCCGGTCAATGAACTAGTGGCTGGTAAAATTCCAATCATACATCATAAAAAAAGTCTTGTGTAGCACTTTCTAGATAACGTTATGACTAACCTCTTAAAAGACGATTTTCAGCTAGCTATTGAAGGATGTCTGTGTGTGTGTGTGTGTTCTGCTCAGTAGTTCGTTGTGTGAGAAGTGTTCGTTAAAAGTGGAAGGCTCGAAAGGTTTGGTGGTAGGGAGGATAAATTGATTGATACGTCTGTGAAGTTTCAAATATTTAGATGACTAGGACACTTGCTTCGCTGCTATGCCATACCATCATCTTCTTTGCCAAGTCAGTGTTCACTGACATTGGATCAAATTAGAAAAGAGTCATGCCTGGTTAAGCCAAAACCTGAAAATCAATCGATAAAGTCTGGATTACCAAGTGCTTGCATTCCTATTTTACTGACAGGAAGCTGTACACTGATGACAGTTGGGAAGTCCTCCACTGCTTCACTTGCTCTAGCTGGTATTCCTCAGGGAGCTGTTCCACCTCCTTTTCTTTTTTCCTTCTTCTTACATGACTTGCCCCGTCCTGATGAAACCAACGTTTGTTATTATATGCCGATGATCTTACTGTTTCTATGCCTGTTCATTCACAATCGGGCTATTCTGAAATAAATAACTTTTTTATCAGAAATTAGTCAGTGGCTCTTGTCAAATGGTCTTAAGCTTAATCCTTCCAAAGTGGTCAAGCAGTTAATTTCACTTAGGGTGAACTAGTTAGTTCACACGGTTCCACTATCACATAGATGGCAGGGAAGTTGAAACTAAATTGAATGTTCAATATATTGGGTCATGTATTTCCTCTGATCACCTTTCCTGGTCCCTTCCCCCACATCATGTTCGTTTCCAGAAAGATATTTCGTTTGATGCTGCATGTAAGAAAGTTATCATTGAGTCAGTCTCTACTGTTACCCTTTGTTAATTCTTGTGGAGTATTTCTGCCAATACTTCTTTACTGGAGGTGGATTGGTTTGGTCATATTCTAAGAAGACAAAACCATCAAGTGAGTGAGATCACACGCCAGGCTCTCTCTGTCGAGTAGTACCCGAACGAGAAGTGGCGAGTTGGTCGTCAGTGCGAGATTTACATGGAGGAGGTCATGTGAATAGGAGATGAAGGCCTGTGGGGGGTGGGAATGTGGAGCCAGGTTAAAACGTTGTTAGAGAACCGAACGCAGTGGAGACTTGGGCGGTTTAAGCCCTATGTTCCTCTAGGAAATAAAGGAAACATTAATGATATATATATATATAAGTATTGGTTTGTTGTAGGGATTTTGTTTGATTGCATGGAGGATTTGATCATGAGCTGACATCAGTTAGAGAACCACTGGAAAACCTGGGAGTACTGGACAGCTGTTTCGTCCTAGTTTGGGACTCCTCAGCAGTACGCACCCACCGGGATTCGAACCCAGGACCTTCTGGTTACAAGGCGAGCTCGTAGACCATTGAGCCACTGGGACCCGATCCAATGGTCCTTGAATTCTAACTTCTGCCAGTTCACGACATAGCGCGACCACTTCGCAATGTCTTCTTCGGTGAGTTACTGCCTCATCTTCAACCTGCTGTACCCTACTGGTCACGGCTTCCCACTAGAACCCCAGGTTAACTGCCTGAATAGGGCCAGTCACTAGTGAGCATCAGATGAATTTTTAAGTATTGGTTTGTTGTAGGGATTTTGTTTGATTGCATGGAGGATTTGATCATGAGCTGACATCAGTTAGAGAACCACTGGAAAACCTGGGAGTACTGGACAGCTGTTTCGTCCTAGTTTGGGACTCCTCAGCAGTACGCACCCACCGGGATTCGAATATATATATATATGCACATTGGGTGTTCAGTGGTAGAACCGTTGTCTGGGATTCGATTCCCTATTGCCTACACTCCAAAAACGTTACCTTGTGTAGCCACTAGTAAGTTGGGTAAATAGAAAAAGAAAGTTGGGCTAAGTGAGTCTAGGAAGCTACTGTTATTATTATTATTATTATTATTACCAGTATTATTATTGGTCATTGTAATCTTTGGGATCTATTCGGTTCTCATTATTCTTCCTACAGTTATACTTCCTCCCCCTCACTCCATATATATTTCCATCATAATGGTTCTGTAAAGTGACGCCAAATTTGTACGGTTGAACTTTTTTTTTTTGAAAATTTTATCCGATCAGTTATTGTTATGTTTCTGTTTGTATATATGACATGCCTCATTACATGCATCATTAAAAATTTCCTTTTTGGTAATATTCCCCTGTTTCTTTCCACAGTATACTAAAGATATGCTTATATCGAAGATAACTAAAAAGTGTTTAAAGCCGGATGATGGCAAACTCATCGATTTATGGGTGTTAACAAGGTAAATGTGCATATTCTTGTTTTTATGATTATTATTATTATTACTATGATTCCCTTTGTGCTCTGATTGGATCACACATCTTCGAATGCAGCAGTGGTAGGATATTTTTCCCTTCCAACGTGCTTCATAATTGTCCTTAATGTTTCATCTTATCCATGTCACCCTGGAAAACGCATGCAACCGGGGTTTTTTTTTCTCACTCGAGGAGGGCTTTGTTGGTATGTGATGTTGTTACGCAATGTTTTTTTTTTACATAAACGAGTATGTTGTTGATGTTGGTCCCGTCGCCAGAGGAGTTCTTTATTGATATCTATCTCAACTTCAGTAGGTATGATGGGGAGGGCAGCAAACACGTTTAAGACACAAGTCTCTGAACCATGGTGGAGGAGGCGATGACTGACTGACTGACTGTACGTTAGTGTTGAAGATCCTAAATGGCTTGTCCAACTGACTGTCTTACTTTTCCAATGTTTCTACCTCTTATATGTTTGTGTATAAGGACACACTCTATCCATGGTGTTTTTGATTTGTGTAAAAAAATGTGCTTAAACATTCATTCAACTTTCAAATCGTAGACCATCATGAATTTGATTGAAATCCGTTCTATTTATTAATGGAAAAAAAATAGTACCATGATTCCTTTGTTCAGTTAGTGTAATGCACTGCATCCATTCTTGTAGAAGGTTGTGAGTGAGTACACTTATTATGCAATGCTAACAGTGCTTCAAAATGTGTGTATGTGTGTGTGGGTGGGTGTCTTGCTCTAGATAACATTCATATTTAGTGCATACTTCAGTTGGAAGTAAGCTTTCACACTTCTTCACAAGTTTATATATGTGTAAAACTTGAGCACAGTGGTAGTAAGTAATTCCATATTAGTTTGTTTATTAGATGGATATATGACACACAGTCAGTGAAACAGTATTATTATTTACTGGATGACAAGGTTTCAAAGACAATTTAGTGCTGTTCATAATGATTTCATCAATTATTATCAAACGAATTTGAAACTTGATTATTATTATTATTATTATTATTATTATTACAGTTTTCTTTGTCCTCTCCTATTTGTCGTCGTTGGGCTAGTAGAATTCTCCAGATGGCCGTCTGGGACAAGTGTTGAAGCAATCCTATTACTACAAGTGTTTGTAGTTGAATCGATAAACAAAGCTTCCGTTATCAATCTCTCCCTCCACACTGCGGCTGCATTAGAATTTAAAACTGTCATCCTATTGTATGGTTGTGCATAACTGCATGTAGTGCTATAGCTGAACTATTCTCTAGATTTCTTATCTTATTTGCGTCAACCAATCTAGATTTTGCTAGGTTTTTATGTTCCGCTAGTCTGACTGCCCCTGTTCTACTAGTTTGACCTATGTATTTGAACCCGCTAACAATCATTGCAGGCAAGGAATTAGATAAACTAAATTGTTTAGTTTTAAAGGCTCCAGAGGATTGATCCTTTAACCGACAAAGCTTGTTTCTAATTGAGTTTGTGCGTTTTAATGCTAGTTTTGTGCCTGCCTGCCTGCCTGCCTTGTTAAGTATTCCCCACTGCAAGGTTTCCGAAGTCCCTTTCTTGTATGGAATTACCATTGAATGATTTAGATTCCTTATTGCTGGTGTCGTCATTAATATTATTATTATTATTACTGTCGCTACTATCATTATTTATTTTATTTTTTACATTTCTCTTCATATTTCTTGACTAATTTATCTGGATAATTATTAAGTTTCGAAGGCTTCTTTTATGTGTATCACTTCCTGTCTTAGATTTTCCTTGGAACTACTTATTTTTTGTGCCCTGTCATTTAAACACTTCACCAATCCTATTTTCACTGACATAGGATGGAATGATCGGAATACCAAGTATCTGTTTGAATGTGTGGGTTTCCTGTAAACACACACCCGTGTGTTTTACCTCCCCATCTTCTTTCCTTTTTTTACATTGCAATCTAACACTGGGAGCTCCCCCGCTACCTAACTTTCCAATTCATCATAAGTGAATTGAATTGCCTCCACCATCGAGTTGATGTGTTCGAAAAAATCTATCTAGATCTTATGTCATCTACATACCTCCACCATACTTTTTGGGGTAAGGGGATCTGAACGTTTCAATCGCTATGCTTTTCCACCTATCCATGAATATTATATCTGCTACAATCGGAGATATTGGTGATCCCATAGCAACTCTTTCAGTTTGTTTGTATATTTTCCCTTGGAATTTAAATCCTATAGTAGAAAACTATAGAACTCAACTTTCAAAGTCGTGTGATTATAATTGATGACATGATTATGAACAATAAGTGAATTTTGTTCGGAACTTTGTCATCCAATAAATAATAATAAAACTGTTTCACTGACTGTGTGATATATGCATCTAATAAGCACACTAATGTGGAATTTCTTCACAAGTTTATCAGTCATCTCCGTCTCTCTCTTGATGATGATAACCTTGAATGTGATCGATTGTTTCTGGACATTTTTCTCACTTGTATTTTTTGAAATTTTATTGACGTGAAGGTTGACGTTTCACCTGTGTAACTTCTTGCCCGACTGAAAGCTGCTACCTTGACGTGATGGTAGGGCTTGAACACCGCAATGACCTATTCAAGCTATACTGGCTGAGACTTATGTCTCTTGAGGTCCTACCATGCCAGAAAGGTTGTTTGGATAGTGGTTAGACAAAAAGCAGCTACCCAACACTATGATACATAAAAACTCACAAAATAGCATGCCTGATCGGCCGTGGCCCGGATTAACAACGATCGCGCTTCCTGCTGCCGTGTCACAAGGCAGGAGTGATAAAAATGCTAGTGAGACACACCAAACAATAAAGAACGAACAAAAACAGGCCGCGTGTGACCGGCCTCAAGCAGTTGTCCCCTGGGCTCTGCGGTCACGCAACCAACTTCCACGGTGTGGGCAGCCGGGAAGTAACAATCGCCCTCACAATCCGAAATGCACACGTAACCTCTCTAATACTCATTCATCTTTTTCGTCATCTTCACCTCTTCATCATCTTGCTTTCCTTCCACTGATGCAACTCCTCTACTTGATGGCTCTTCACTTCCGCTTCACTCTGTGTCCACCAAAAACGACTGAAGCCAAAAAACCACCACCGATAGTCTCCTAAAGCCACGCCATCAATTTCATATAGGAGCTTTTAATGTTTGGACACTTTGCCAAATAGGACAACAAGCATCACTAGCCAAGACTCTGACATCCCGAGCTATTGATGTATGTTGTGTTTCAGAAACACGCATACAAAACCCAAGTGTGGTTATTCATCTAACCCCACCTGGCCAACAGTTTGAATCTGCGAAATTCACCTTGAGAGTGTCAGGAGATGCCACAGCTAGTTCACGAGGAGTAGCTGGTGTAGGGATAGCTTTGAGTACTAGGGCAGAAAAGACATTGCTTGACTGGATTCCGGTAGATAGCCAAATGTGTGCTGTCTGTCTGAACGGATCAGTAAAAAGGAGAAAGGACTGCACTACTCGCCGACGCCTTTTCGTAATCTCCACCTACGCCCCCACTGACTGCAGTTCAGATGAAACGAAGGATGTGTAACTTCTTGACAATTAAGTGATAAATTCTATCTATCTATCTACCGATGTTGACGTATACATTTACTCTTCGACTTCTCGAAATTCTCCAAGATTCTCGATATTTCGCTTGTCTACAGCGTTTGTACATTTCCCTTGTGGAATTGATGTCCGTGGTTGTCTGCATACGCATATACAAATATGAGAGAAACTTCTTACATTAACCTCCTCCCACACACACACACACACACACACATTTTATGAATTTGAATAAAGCAAGAACAAGAGTGATCTGTTGTGCAGAGTAAAGTTGTACCATCCTTTGTGTTATATCGTTGGCTACTTTCTCAACAACTGTTTTTTACAGCCCAAAGTTATTATTAAGTTTCTCTACAGAAACAATTTTACAGATACAAATTTTAGATGTTTCGATAAAGAAACAAAGAAGACGAAATTTGCAGTATAAAATGTGATGTCGTCATTCTATTCCACAGGTTCTCATCAGCTGCACACACCACTACTAGACATTACAATGGTTATATAAATCACATAATATAACATACTTTAGTGTTTGAGTGGTAGGAGAGTAGAGATACTACTATAAACTTGACGCATCCAAAATGAAAGCATTACAATTTTTTTTAGTTTAAGTTTTCATGATTAATTCATACGCTTTTAAAGTTGAAAAGATGGTGGGGGAGGGGTAAGACAGAAAACAGAAAGAAATTAAATTAACAGAACAGTGGTTGCTTGTAGCTTGTTCACATAGCAACTCAAAAAAAACAACAACAAAAGCGGTTACAGTTTATGAGGTTAAGATTTGTTCAATGAGTTGAGATGACTGAATTAAATAACTAAGTATTAATGTAATCAAAATCAAAATTCAGTTACCAACTAACTGTTTTGTGAAATAATTTTTCCGGCTTTCTGTGTTACCCCTCCCCCTTCTTTTTTCAACTTTGAAAGCGCATAAATTGGTAATGAAATCTTAAACTAAAAATTGTAATGCTTTCATTTTGGATGGGTCAATTTTATAGTATGTCTTCTCTACTACCACTCAAATGTTAAAGTATGTTATTGTCATCTATATAACCATTGTAACTTCGAGGATGTGGACTTCGCCTGCGATGATATATGTCTGATTTCCCACAGACTGGAAGATATGCAAGTGAAAAGCAACAAGTTGACAGAAGAAGCATCAAAGATAGGACTTCAAGTGAACATAGAGAAAACACAGGTGATGAATATTCCTGGCCAACACCAACAGCAGCAACAACAACAGACAACGATCAGCCAGCATAAATGAGAGGAACCTGAAAGAAACAACCTCCTTTACCTACCCACCTACCTGGGATGCATAGTTTCAACTACAAGCCGACGGAACTGACGAGGATATCAAAGCCAGAATCGGAAAAGCAAGACAGGCTTTCATTACCCTTAAGTCTGTGTGGA